GGGCAGCTTACACGGGGACCACCTCCCTCAGAGGCTCCGACGGCGGCGCGGTCAAAATGGGCATCGCCCGGATCATCCCGCACCCCTCCTACAACACCGACACAGCTGACTACGACGTGGCCGTGCTGGAGCTGAAGAGACCTGTGACCTTCACCAAGTACATCCAGCCCGTGTGCCTGCCAGACGCGGGGCACCACTTCCCCACCAGCAAGAAGTGCCTCATCTCCGGCTGGGGCTACCTCAGGGGGGATTTCTGTAAGCAAGGTGTGGTGGGTGGCAGAGGGGGCAGGGTGGGCTGTGAGCAGTGCAGGGGGCACCAGGGACGGGAACGGGGGTCGTGGGCTGTGAGACGGGTGGCCGGTCTCGGGCAAGGCTCCCCGCCGCGAGCTCACGGCCGCGTCTTTCTCGTTCAGTGGTGAAACCCGAGTTCCTGCAGAAAGCAACAGTGGAGCTGCTGGACCAGACGCTCTGCTCCAGCCTCTACAGCCACACCCTCACGGACAGGATGATGTGCGCTGGCTACCTGGAGGGGAAAATCGACTCCTGCCAGGTAGGCTTTGCCCAGGGAAACCAGCACACGTCCCCCCATCAGCCCCTTCCCTCCCAGTACGCACCAAGCAGCAGGATCTGACACCATGGTCATGGTTCCCCCTCAGTGGTCGAGGCCATGCCTTGGACCCAAGCACGGGTCAGGGACCGCAGAAGACAAAACTGAGGACATGTTCTTTAGCGCTTAGAGCAGGGCACTGCTGTTTCAGGGGCTCTTTCGGCTATTTATTGAACTGCTTTTCTCTGCTTCTTGAGCTGTGATTGGGGCTGGCGCTACCGACGTACCTGGCACGTCCTGAGATCAAAATCCAGATGGCAAAGGGCAGCAAGGGAAACTAAAACATACACAACAGGTTTTTGGGGAACGGCTCGGTGTTTTCCCTAGTCAGCCGTTATCCAGCCTGGAATTGTAAGCGGTCAGCTGGAGAGAATCCTGCCCTTTGCAAAGTGTGGGGGGAGGAGGGGAGGAGGACTGTGGTGGGAGGGGAGGGCTGTGATTTCCACAGCTGGCTGTGGTTTGGCGGCGCCTTTCATACCCGCAGCCACCAGCTGAGCGAAACCGCACGTCTCTGGGGGTAGCACTTCATATCTCTGCACCAAATGCAGCACAGGCTCTGGAGAAGGGGCCAAGAATGGAAGATTTGGGGTTGGATGATGAATATGACCCACCCGGTCATTCGTTACTCACCTAGAGCAATCCACGCCCAGGAGGCACCGCCAGCTTCACAGGCACCGCACGTCCTATGTCAGTGACGTTCATATGGCCCCACAGCACCAAAGAATTGACCAGGGAACCACAGGCCAGATCAAGACAACATCACGCAAAGATGAGCAGTCTTCCTGGGTTGCGCATCGTGCAATGAACACCCATCATCTGGCTGTTCAGGGGCTGCTGGGCCTAACATTTAAGAGCAGCAGTTTAACAAATTATCCAACCAGTAAAAATACTTACCCTAGATTTTATGGAGGATGACCTCGTGCTCTTCTGGCATATCACGGGCACAAGGCTACTGCTTAACAGCAGGACAGTGCGCCCACGCAGAGGAGCACTCAAAGGCCAGCACAGGAGATGCTTCACTCATCGCTAGGCTGGAGCAAACAAGCAGAGGTGAGCTGGGATACGCAGGGACAGAGGGACACAGCCTGGCAGAGGTATGCTGAGGGTAGCTGCGGCGAGCTTGGAGCGTCTCCAGGGAGAGCTGACCATCCGGTTTCTCTTGCAGGGTGACTCTGGTGGGCCTCTCGTTTGCCAAGAACCATCTGGCAAGTTTTTCCTGGTGGGAATCGTGAGCTGGGGAATCGGATGTGGTGAAGCCAGGCGGCCCGGGGTTTACACACGTGTTACCAAGCTCAGAGACTGGATCTTGGATGCTATTTCTTCCTCCCCCACCTCCATAGCCCATCCTGTCCTGCCAATACACTCCAGTGCTAACAGCAACGTGGTCAGCTCTGCAGAGCTCAACACCACCACGGCCGCAGCAATCCCCACGGCTTCACCCGCCCCCGCCGCCC